AACCAGGAAGGAGCTAATGCTCTGATACCATGTAATCTGAAGAGCTATACTCGAAGTAGCAAGGAGGAGAAGAGAACCACAGAACTGAAGAGAATGAACTGTACTAGGCAGTCGACCAGTCTTTTATTTATAGATCGGATAGGGGTGTGGCCCGAACTGCCTTGGGGCGGGCCAGTTCGGGTTGTTGCCCTTTGTGCTCGTAAGGCCCGGGGTCAAAGGGAGAGTTCGGGCTCCTTGTGGGGAGTTCGGACTGCCGGTTCCTCCTTTCGAAGCTCGCGCCTTGGGCGTACTGTCGTGCCGAGCTGTTGCCTTTGCCACGTGTTGAGTGGTTACGAGGTCGGGCCAAAGTGTAGTGCGTATTCCAATTTCGTGCCACCCGGGCCGCGCAGGACTATTCCAGCCCCGCTGCCCTGTTGGTTCGAGGAGCCATCTACGTGAAGGATCCAGGGCTCCTCATCCCAGTTCGCGTTTGGCCTAACTAGGAGAGATGCCACCCTGGCTGCTACTTCATGAGGTTTGGACTCTATTGGCTTGGGAGCTCCGGGCTCACCCGAATTGGGGATCTCGGGCTCAACCGGCCTAGGGTTTGACATTCCAAATCATCAGCTTCAATTGTTTACTATTGGTATTTTTATGATGCCACTATTTTGTAAGCACATCTTGCCATATCTCTTTCTATAGCACCATTATCCCAGCTCACCAGTTGAATGCTTTGATAGTCCAATCAGCCCAGGTTTATCCAGCCCACTCATCAAAGTCAGTAATAGTCTCTTCCAAAAATGGTCTAATGAAATCCTACAAACCAGCACTACACTCTACATTCTGAACTAATCTTTCCTAGTTCAGCCCTACCTTAACACCATAAACCGTATTGGCATCCAATCACTAGTACATTTTCTGTAGGATTTTTAAGGACCAAACTTAATGTTCTGAATGAGCAAATTTCTGTTTTGCTTTCTCCTTGCCTACTTACATCATGCCAGTTGTGCTACTAATTTATCATATATTTTAGTTAATTGTTTTTTAACCAAATTAGTAAATTTAATCTGCTAGAGTCCTAACATTTTATCCCTGAAATTTTAGCTTCTTTGATTGACGTATGGCATTGCAACCATGAGGTCTTATGTTTAAATTTCAACCTACTGACCAAAAGTCACAACACAAGCACATGCACACCCCCATGCATTTATATATGTAACAAGCATCATAGTTCTTTGCAGTTTGGTTTAGTACCATAATATTGTAGGTTTTATATGAAATGTGCGGCTTGTGCTTTGGATTGTGTAGAGGCATGTCTAAGGCTTAGTTAACATTTTTCTCTTTAGTTATTATGACTTATAGAGTTTTGGCCTGTTCTAATCATCTTGTTCTATTTAGGTAGATTGGGAAGGTGAAGTTGCTTTAATACAATGTGCAAAAGCAATGGGAGTTCAGAGGTATGTATTCTTTTCTATTCACAACTGTGACAAGCATCCCAAAGTTCCTCTAATGGAGATCAAATATTGCACTGAGAAATTCCTTCAGGACTCAGGTTTAACCTACATTATCATTCGGTTATGTGGTTTCATGCAGGTAATTTATGAGCACATACTAAGATTATGGGTTTTTCTTCCATGATGCCAACAAGTTGCTAACCATTGTACAATTTTAATTAAAAAAAATAAAAATTAGGAAAAGCAAAAAAAAATTGTCAACTCAAAATTTCAGCTTTTAATTAGTTTTTTTCCTGTTTATGCTTTTATGCATAAAAAAGCTTATGAAGTTGCTTTCATTTATACTGGGATGGTTCTAGGATCCTTGTAGTTAAGCCTTGTTGATTGGTATGATTTACACACTGGGAAGGCCAAGAGATTATTCATTGGAATGTAGCACACCAAAGGGGCTAATGCTTGGTATGATGGTAAATTCTTGAGTTGACAAGCGCAAGTAATGCAGATTTTGAGTCTGAGAATGGCCACTTTGTGCAAAAAATGCTGGAGAATTGGAGATTGGTCCTGTATCCAGTTTACCCTTCCCAAGACCCTGGACAGCCAGGACCATCATTTGGTGATGACCTTTTTAACATAACATTAACTAAGGAGAGAAGCTATTTTTCAGTCTGTTTGGGTGTGGATTTCAAAGAAGATAAGAATAATGTAATTACCTATTGAGGATGCCCTACATTTGTGCGCCCTAAATTTCTAATGTTAAGAATTTTAGATTTTAAGGCAACAGATCCAGGGGTTGAGTACAGAAAGACGAGTTCAAGGAAAAAGCTGTAGGAGAGCTTTTTCCCTATGGATGTTCTTTCAGTAGTACCTTTGTTTGGGATTGGCCAAGGAGAGAATAATGTAATAGACTGGTCTCCAAGATTTATTTATTTATTATCTTTCTTTGCGTGAGGTAAAGTAAGATTTCATTGATCTCAAAAAATCCCTGTATTGTGATTTATTCCTTTAAAAGACATGAATAGCCAACCATGAGTGAAGCCTTCCCAAAATTATCTGAAAAACTTTTAATGCTGAAGATGCCTTTTCCTTGAAAATCCTAGAATTCCTTTCCTGCCACAAACCCCAAAAAAACTGCTGGAATCATATGCTAAGTAATTCTGCTCCTCTTGCTTAGACCATCCAGCCTCCATCCCTTTAAAAACACTGCCACTGACTGTGGATGACATCCCTTAACAGTAAATATACTCAAAACCTTTACCTGAATCAGCCGAGTGAAAGCTGCAATGCAACAGTAAGCGGTACATGATTCAGCTGCCTCCCCAGACATCATACAATCAAATGATGACACTGCCATGTCCTTTCTTGCTAAGTTATCTTTAGTGAGAATTCTATTCAGTTATGCTGTCCACACAAAGAAAGCCACCTTAGTTCACATGGAGAATTCTTACCAAGTTATCTTTGGTGAGAATTCTATTCAGGTATGCTGTATTCGTAGGGACCTCCTCATGTTCTATTGATGCCAAATGCTCAGAAAACGACTTAACTGATTACTTGCCTGATTTCTCCCACATCCACACCCTGCTGTCTGATGAATGAAGATAGATTCACCTGACTGCTATATAGCCTCTGTAACATCTCCACCATTGAACCCGCTTCCCAATCATTTAAGTTGGTCCGAAACTGGGGCACCCACACCATATTTTCATTCTGAAGCTGTAGGCAATCTGCCAAACTTACCTGGTTACCTCCTTGTTCATAGCCAACTCAAATGACCGGTTTGGGAAATCTTCCATTAAAGATCTTTCCTCACACCAGGCTATGGTCTGCAAGATTCTTTTAGAAAACTAGAGAACAAGTGGGTGAATTAGATTGGGAAAAATGGGGTTACTTTTGCTAGGTGCTTGTCATACTTGGACCTCAAAACAAGAGAACATAGATGCCGATCCAAAAGGTAAGAAATTGGTGAAACCGGTAAGCATAGATGAGTGAGGAGTCAAATGGTGAGACATTAGTGAAACTGGTCCTTGTTTAGAAGGATCAAGGCACAATCATGGGTGTGAAACTGGTCCTTATTTAGAAGGATCAAGGCACAATCGTAGGTGTAGGCTGCTCCAGTGGTTTGCTTTTATAGATTATTTGTTTCTTCTCCTGCAAGAAAAAGGTTCTTATCTGAATTTCACTACCAAGCAAATTTGACGCTTCACAAGGTTACCTTTATGGTTAAGAACATAGAAGATTTCAAATGACTGATTCAAATAACCAATATACAACTACTAAGAAAATCCTTATGAAAAGGAAAAAGTACTAATCCTACTTTCCTAAACCAATATTTGCATGGAAGACCTTCTGTAGGATATGTGTGGGGCTAATAGTAGTTCTATGGACAAATAATAATAGAATATATGACCGTTGTGTGGTGGGCCTAGAAAAGCCCATGTAGCCAAAATCCATGACCCTTTAGAGTCTCACCTGGCTAAATAAGGGCTGTTTGCAGTCTTTTTACAAGCTGACTTTTTTTTTGCTCCTGGTCCTGCATTATTACCTCTAGAGTGATGTATTAGAGCACCTAAATGAACTAGGAGCAAAGAAAAATGTGCTTTTCTAAAATTAAATAATCCAGTGGCATCAATACACACACATGTCTCTCCTGGCTTTTTGTTCTAGTCATACATTTTGTCTGGTGATTTTTGATGCATCATTGCCTGTGCAGGGTCTGATTGGGCAGTATGCAGTGTAGGTACTAGAAGAGAAGTCTGTCTGGGGAACTGATGCCCCAACAAGAATTGCTTACATGGACACACAGGTTAAGATTTAATTGCAGTTAGGTTCCGCTTTAGTTTCTTGATGGCAAATATGCTCAATTATAAATTACATGGTGCCTATCCCTTTGCTGTATAAATGAGTTTCCTTTATTTTGGGATTTGCTCTAAATGAATTCCTTTCTTTTCTAGGATATAGCTTGATTAACATTCATAGCTTTACGAAATGAGAAAATCAACAAGAAGCTTCTCACGTTTGCTGGGCCTCATGCATGGACAACCCAAGAGGTAATAAAGGATTTCTATCTTGTCAGGGCTCATTTTCATTATTTGCTTGAGCTTGAGAGCTTTTTTTTTTTTTTTGGTGCCCAAAAAAGAAAAAAAGAAAAAAAAAGGCAGAGGTTAAGGTCTGTATCCAGTCTATCCCAAGATCCTGGACATATGGGATCATCATTAGGTAATGGCCCTTTTAATTGCAGCTTGTCAGCAAATGGTCATTGCCTAGGTGAAAAAGAAATGAAAATGTAAGCTTTATCCTTCAGTATTGTGATTGATCTTTACTTTGACAGGTGATAACATTGTGTGAGAGACTTGCAGGACAAGATGTGTAAAGAGACTGGGCCGAATGGGTCCTAGTATCTTCTCTTGTAATATCTTTTCTTTTATTGTTGGCTAATGAGCCTCTCTTAATGGGTCTGTTATTTCTTTTTGTTTAATCTCTTTATGTTACTGCCTAGCTGGCCGCCCACTTAAGGGCATACTTGTCATTACTCTAACTTTAATTCTTAATAAAAAAGGATTAGAGGAGAAAGGGAAGATAATTCAATTCTTCTTCTTCTTCCTTCTCTTTTCACCATCTTCTTCTCTTGTGTTGCTGCTCTTACTTCTCTTCTTCCTTGTTTCTTCTAATCTTCAAATTTACACCTAATATTTGAGGACTGATTTACATCTTGGGAGAGAAGATACTAGGACCCATTCGGCCCAGTCTCTTTACAAGATGCAAATGTAACCACTGTCCCTGTCTCAATCTTGAAGTTCATTCGCCAACTGACTCGGTTCTTTCAGTGGACAAATGATGTTGCTGATAGATTGGCATTTTCAGAGGTGATAAGTGGTACTTTAGTTGTGTCCATATTTTTAGTAATATTACTCAATGTAACAGGGATACCTCTTTTTCTTAAAGGAAAAAATGGCATAGTCAAACCCATCTTGTGCATTTCTAGGAATGCAAGATAGTTTGCTTAAGAAAAACACCTTTTAAAGAAATTTTGTCAGTCTCAGATTGGACTAGACAGTTGGAACATTTGGACTGAGAATGGCAGCCAAAGCATTTTTTGGCATGCCTAGTTCTACAAAATGTTGACTTGGTCAAACTCTCCCAAATACTTGTATTAATAGGTGTTATAACCTATGATATTTATTGTTCTAAGCTTATTTTGATGTAAAATAGTTTCAAAAGTTAATTGGGAACTGTTTCCTATTTTTAAAATATTGTTTTTCACATTTTTTATTTAAGCAAGTTAAATGGTCAAACTGGAGGGTTGGACCATTCAACCAATGATCCAATGACCTAACGGTTTTCTGTCCAGTTGAAGTCTGAAATCTTTGTTCTAAAGTATTCAGAACTGTTTCCTAGTTCTTGTTTCTAACTATATGGTGTTGATTATACATATCCTGTTTCATCACTCCTCTTCATTGAGGTTCATATCATTGCAAGTCTCATATCATTTCTTACAACCTTAACCCATCCATTTTATTTTTGGACTTCCTCCCCTGTTTACTAGAACTATCAATTCACCAGTCATCCATCTCAACATCCTCATCTTCACTACAATTATTTCATTGGATTAATCATCATCCAAACCTCATCCCGACTATATGGGGTTGGCTACATGAATCCTGCTCCACAATTCCATTCTGTTCAGCACAACATCCATTGTTAAATTATGGGGCCCTTAAATCATTTCCCACTACAATCATTTTGTTGAAGTATTGTTTCTAAATTGCCTCTTTAAAACATCCCTTTCAATCTGATTTTGGAGCAGTTCCTTGGTTGTGTAGGAGAAAAGGGGACTCATACTGTAAAACCCTAATCTCCATGCATTAATAACGGGAGCTAAGGAAGTCTTGACCGGTGCCTGTCTAGATCTCTAGGACCAAATATTATACATTACTGAAGTAGTTGTCTACACTCTTCCAATTTAACAGAAATTTGTCCTTGATAGTCTAGAATAGTAAAACAGGATTCTTGTAGCCGACCTCAAATGGCCTGATAAGTTGAATGAGTTGTATTAAGATGTGTCTCCATACATGAATATTATGAAAATGTGCAAATTGAGGATAACAAAAGTGGTACATGAAGCAGGCAGGGAGTCTAGACTTGTAAACCACTGTCTGTTGCATCGTGTATAGGATATTTGTCTTCTGTTGAAGTTAATATGTTTTTTTTTTTGAGAAAAGATAACTGATTGTATTAAATAAAAAAACAGGAAGTACATGAGAGGATGTACAGACTACAGGAAAGGACCAACACCAGAAATTACATAGGCAGAAATCTTTCACTATACGGATTTTCCCTAAAGATGTCTGATTTTGCCAAACCATCAGCTGTTGAATTTAACTCTCTGGGAATCCAGGTTAGATTTACAACCAAGGTGTCCAAAATATCTCTGGCCTCAATCAGGTAGTGTGCTAGCCTCCAGGGACCTCCCTCCTTCTCCCCTAACCATTTTATAGTATTTGCAGAATCACCTTCAATGGTTAGAGCAGACCAGCCCTTATCTTTAGTTATTTGAAGACCTGTGAGTACAGTCAAGATTTCTGATTTTGTAGAATCAGCAACCCCAATTGGGTCCAAGTTTAGTCTAAGTTCTGACTCCACTTTTGCATAGAGAACACTAGATCTGTTTAAAGATCCAGATGAAGAAAAGAGGATTTCCCCCAAGTTTCTTTGCAAATCATTCAAAGAAAATCTTTTGAACTCCACAGAAACAGATGCCCACAGGTTGCCCAAGAATGAGATATGAAGAAAATCTTCAAAACATCTGGATCTGTTTTCAAACATATGATTGTTTCTTTCTTCTCAAACACATCACATCGGCAATCATGCGCCAGTAAATTTTCCCCCTACTACCAAGGCCAATACCACACTGCCATTGCCAAATGAAATCAATAATGTGTTCAGGAACAACCCAGCTGTACCCGTCAAGATTGAGGAAATAGGGCCAAATCTTCCTTGTTCCTGGGCAGTGTAGAAGGAGGTGATCGGCAGATTCACCATCCCTCAAACAAAATGGGCAAGCATGGGGAGAGATAAACAGTCTCAGTCTGCCTTGTTCTTCTTCTGAACCAAGTCACAAGTTTTGATTTTTTTAGGCAAGCCTCCCACAAAAAAGGATACTCGGGGGGGGGGGGGGATATGAGAACACCAGATCCTCTTGTATGGAAAGCTTGCATTAGAGATTCCCAGTACCAGGGTTCCGAAGGACTTAGTTGAGAACTTGCCATTAGGTTGAAGCTTCCAAATATGTTGATCTGGGGTTGCTAAGGAAACGTAGACCTCACTTAGAGAAACTAAAAGATTTGTAGTCTCATCTATCTCTACATTTCTTAAAGGTCTTCTAAAATTTATTGAAGTTAATATTTGTTGAAACATTTTGAGGCAGATGATGTAGTGTTTTGACAATGTTTTTTGCTCACCTAAACTAAAGTTAATTGGACTGATGATTATGATAACCTCATTTCTTTAGTTTGGTAATCATAATCCAATTTCCTCCATATAGTTGGGACAAAAGATGATGTAACCGTTTTTTGGTCACGTACCATTTTTTTGGGATGTGTAAAATTTTTTGGCTAAGTACCTCGTGTTTGACCTGGTGGTGACGTGCCTTGGTGATGAGCTACTCGGTGGCGAACTTCCCGGGGGAGAACTGCCTGGGGGCGAACTGCCTGGTGATGCTTCCTGGTGGCGAACTGCCCGGTGGCGAACTGCCTGGTGGCGAACTGCCCGGTGGCGAACTGCCTAATGGCGAACTGCCTGATGGCGAACTGCCTGGTGGCGAACTGCCTGGTGGCGAACTGCCTAGTGGCGAACTGCCTAGTGGCGAACTGCCCGGCAGTGCTCCTTGGTGGCGAACTGCCTGGTGGCGAACTACCTGGTAGTGTTCCCTGATGGTGAACTCGTCACTTGACTTGCTCCTAGGCGGTCTGCAACTCAGAGGATGGTGGAGCTCCCTGGTGCAGCGCTACCCGACTACCCCCTGCGTG